TTCGTTGTTGGAATAGACGTTGCTGAAGCAGTCGTTGTTGGAATAGACGTTGCTGAAGCAGTCGTTGTTGGAATAGACGTTGCGGAAGCAGACGTTGTGGAATAGACGTTGTGAAGTAGACGTTGTGGAATAGACGTTGTGGAAGCAGACGTTGTTCGAATAGACGTTGTGGAAGCAGACGTTGTTGGAATAGACGTTACTGAAGCAGGCGTTGTTGGAATAGACGTTGCTGAAGCAGACGTTGTTGGAATAGACGTTGCTGAAGCAGACGTTGTTGGAATAGACGTTGCTGAAGCAGACGTTGTTGGAATAGACGTTGCTGAAGCAGAGAATAGACGTTGCTGAAGCAGACGTTGTTGGAATAGACGTTGCTGAAGCTGTCGTTGATGGAATAAATGTTACTGAAGCAGACATTGTTGGAATAGACGTTACTGAAGCAGGCGTTGTTGGAATAGACGTTACTGAAGCAGGCGTTGTGTGAATAGACGCTTCTGAAGCAGACTTTGCTGAAGCAGTCGTTATTGAAATAGACGTTGCTGAGGCAGACTTTGTTGGAATAGACGTTACTGAAGCAGACGTTGTTGGAATAGACGTTGTCGAAATAGACGTTACTGAAGCAGACGTTGTTGGAATAGACGTTGCTGAAGCAGACGTTGTTGGAATAGACGTTTCTGAAGCAGTCGTTGTCGAATAGACGTTTCTGAAGCAGATGTTGTTGGAATAGATGTTGCTGAAGCAGAGAATAGACGTTTCTGAAGCAGTCGTTGTTGGAATAGACGTTTCTGAAGATCGTTATTGGAATAGACGTTTCTGAAGCAGTCGTTGTCGAATAGATGAAGCAGTCGTTGTTGGAATAGACGTTGCTGAAGCTGATGTTCTTGCATCTCCATTAGCTGTGGAAGATGTCAAACTGATGGAAAGACTGCCATTCCCAGTTGCTGGTTGTTGGTAAAACTTTTATTTCAGCAACGAGGTTTTTGAGAAGCAAGTTAGAAGGCGCAAATAAACTGTTTAATCTTATTAATTTTTCTCTTGTGAGAAAGATATATTGGCATTTAAATTGTTTTCTTATGATTTAACGCTTTTTTAATTATTACATATCTTTACATGTGTACATATTTGAATATGTATATCATATTTCTTCATATACATACACATAACAACCCACAGTAAGTCAAATATGATTGTTCTATATAATCCGTGCTCATACATCATACAGTACCTACACACTCATCAAACACCGATCAAACTTACAAATAGGTTGGGAGTGTGTGTGTGGGTGTGGAAAGCGATCACAATCAAGAGGGCTTGGCCTATAATTATTCACGTTCTCAGAGAGATCAAGAAACCGAAAGCAATCATATTTGACTTACTGTGGGTTGTTATGTGTATGTATATGAAGAAATATGATATACATATTCAAATATATACACATGTAAAGATATGTAACAATGAAAAAAGCGTTAAATCATAAGAAAACAATTTAAATGCCAATATATATTTCTCACAAGAGAAAAATTAATAAGATTAAACAGTTTATTTGCGCCTTCTAACTTGCTTCTCAAAAACCTCGTTGCTGAAATATGTAATAATAAAAGTTTTACCAACAACCAGCAACTGGGAATGGCAGTCTTTCCATCAGTTTGACATCTTCCACAGCTAATGGAGATGCAAGAACATCAGCTTCAGCAACGTCTATTCCAACAACGACTGCTTCAGAAACGTCTATTCCGACAACGACTGCTTCAGAAACGTCTATTCCAATAACGACTTCTTCAGAAACGTCTATTCCAACAACGACTGCTTCAGAAACGTCTATTCCAACAACGTCTGCTTCAGCAACGTCTATTCCAACAACGTCTGCTTCAGAAACGTCTATTCCGACAACGACTGCTTCAGAAACGTCTATTAATCAGCAACGTCTATTGAACAAGCTTCAGAAACGTCTATTCCACAACGTCTCTTCAACGTACAACGTCTGCTTCCACAACGTCTATTCCAACAACGTCTGCTTCCACAACGTCTATTCCAACAACGTCTGCTTCCAGCAACGTCTATTCCACAACGATTCAACGTCTATTCCAACAACGTCTGCTTCAGCAACGTCTATTACTGCTTCAACGTCTATTCCAACAATCAACGTCCAACAACGTCTGCTTCAGCAACGTCTATTCCAACGACTGCTTCAGCAACGTCTATTCCAACAACGACTGCTTCAGTAACGTCTATTCCAACAACGCTTCTTCAGAAACGTCTTTCCAACAACGTCTGCTTCAGCAACGTCTATTCCAACGACTGCTTCAGCAACGTCTATTCCAACAACGACTGCTTCAGTAACGTCTATTCCAACAACGACTGCTTCAGAAACGTCTATTCCAACAACGTCTGCTTCAGCAACGTCTATTCAACGACTGCTTCAGCAACGTCTATTCCAACAACGTCTGCTTCAGCAACGTCTATTCAACAACGACTGCTTCAGAAACGTCTATTCCAACAACGTCTGCTTCAGCAACGTCTATTCCAACAACGACTGCTGCAACGACTGCTTCAGCGACGTCTATTCCAACAACGTCTGCTTCAGCAACGTCTTTTCAACAACGACTGCTTCAGCAACGTCTTTTCCAACAACGACTGCTTCAGCAACGTCTATTCCAACAACGTCTGCTTCAGAAACGTCTATTCCAACAACGTCTGCTTCAGGAACTGCTTCAGCAAACGTCTTTTTCCAACAACGACTGCTTCAGCGACGTCTATTCCAACAACGTCTGCTTCAGCACGTCTTTTCCAAAACGACTGCTTTCAACGTCTTTTCCAACAACGACTGCTTCAGCAACGTCTTTTCCAACAACGACTGCTTCAGAAACGTCTATTCCAACAACGTCTGCTTCAGCAACTCTATTCGAACAACGACTGCTTCAGAAAATTCCAACAACGACTGCTTCAGCAACGTCTATTCCAACAACGTCTGCTTCAGCAACGCAACGACTGCTTTCTATTCAACAACGACTGCTTCAGAACGTCTATTCCAACAACGTCTGCTTCAGAAACGTCTATTCCAACAACGTCTGCTTCAGCAAAATTCCAACGACTGCTTCAGCACCTCTATTCAACAACGAATGCTTCAGAAACGTCTATTCCAACAACGTCTGCTTCAGCAACGTCTATTCCAACAACGACTGCTTCAGCAACGTCTTTTCCAACAACGACTGCTTCAACGTCTATTCCAACAACGTCTGCTTCAGCAACGTCTATTCCAACAACGACTGCTTCAGCAACGTCTATTCCAACAACGACTGCTTCAGCAACGTCTATTCCAACAACGTCTGCTTCAGTAACGTCTATTCCAACAACGTCTGCTTCAACGTCTATTCCAACAACGACTGCTTCAGCAACGTCTATTCAACAACGTCTGCTTCAGTAACGTCTATTCCAACAACGACTATTTCAGAACGTCTATTCCAACAACGACTGCTTCAGCGACGTCTATTCCAATAATGACTGCTTCAGCGACGTCTATTCCAATAACGACTGATTCAGCAACGTCTATTCCAATAACGACTGCTTCAGCAACGTCTATTCCAATAACGACTTCTTCAGCAACGTCTATTCCAAAAACGACTGCTTCAGAACGTCTATTTCAACAACGACTGCTTCAGCGACGTCTATTCCAACAACGACTGATTCAGCAACGTCTTTTCCAATAACGACTGCTTCAGCGACGTCTATTCCAACAACGTCTGCTTCAGTAACGTCTATTCCAACAACGACTGCTTCAGCAACGTCTATTCCAATAACGACTGCTTCAGCGACGTTTATTCCAACAACGTCTGCTTCAGAAACGTCTATTCCGACAACGACTGCTTCAGTCTATTCCAACAACGACTGCTTCAGCAACGTCTATTCCATTAACGACTGCTTCAGCAACGTCTATTCCAAAACGACTGCTTCAGAAACGTCTATTCCATTAACGACTGCTTCAGCAACGTCTATTCCAATAACGACTGCTTCCAACGTCTATTACTGCTTCAACAACGTCTATTCACAACGACTGCTTCAGCAACCTTATTCCAACAACGACTGCTTCAGCAACGTCTATTCCAACAACGACTGCTTCAGTAACGTCTATTCCAACAACGACTGCTTCAGCGACGTCTATTCCAACAACGACTGCTTCAGCAACGTCTATTCCAATAACGACTGCTTCAGCAACGTCTATTCCAATAACGACTGCTTCAACGTCTATTCAATAACGCTGCTTCAGTAACGTCTATTCCAAACGACTGCTTCAGCAACGTCTATTCCAACAACGACTGCTTCAGCAACGTCTATTCCAATAACGACTGCTTCAGCAACGTCTATTCCAACAACGACTGCTTCAGTAACGTCTATTCCAACAACGACTGCTTAACGTCTATTCAACAACGTCTGCGTCTATTCCAACAACGTGCTTCAGCGACGTCTATTCCAACAACGTCTGCTTCAGCAACGTCTATTCCAATAACGACTGCTTCAGCAACGTCTATTCCAATAACGACTGCTTCAGAAACGTCTATTCCAATAACGACTGCTTCAGTAACGTCTATTCCAACAACGACTGCTTCAGCAACGTCTATTCCAATAACGACTGCTTCAGAAACGTCTATTCCAACAACGACTGCTTCAGAACGTCTATTCCAATAACGACTGCTTCAGCAACGTCTATTCCAACAACGACTGCTTCAGCAACGTCTATTCCAACAACGACTGCTTCAGAAACGTCTATTCCAATAACGACTGCTTCAGCACGTCTATTCCAACAACGACTGCTTCAGCAACGTCTATTCCAATAACGACTGCTTCAGCAACGTTTATTCCAACAACGACTGCTTCAGCAACGTCTATTCCAACAACGACTGCTTCAGCAACGTCTATTACGACTGCTTCAGCACGTCTATTCCAACAACGAGCTTCAGAACGTCTATTCCAATAACGAAGCAACGTGCTTCAGTAACGTCTATTCAACAACGACTGCTTCAGCAACGTCTCCAATAACGATCGTCTACTCTGCTTCAACGTCTATTCCAACAACGACTGCTTCAGAAACGTCTATTCCAATAACGACTGCTTCAGCAACGTCTATTCCAACAACGACTGCTTCAGCAACGTCTATTCCAATAACGACTGCTTCAGCAACGTCTATTCCAATAACTGCTTCAGTAACGTCTATTCCAACGACTGCTTCAGAGACGTCTATTCCCAACGACTGCTTCAGCGACGTCTATTCCAATAACGACTGCTTCAGCAACGTCTTTTCCAATTGCTTCAGCAACGTCTATTCCAACAACGACTGCTTCAGAAACGTCTAACAACGACTGCTTCAGCACGTCTATTCCAACAACGACTGCTTCAGCAACGTCTATTCCAACAACGACTGCTTCAGCAACGTCTATTCCAACAACGACTGCTTCAGCAACGTCTATTCCAACAACGACTGCTTCAGCAACGTCTATTCCAATAACGACTTCTTCAGCAACGTCTATTCCAATAACGTCTGCTTCAGCAACGTCTATTCCAACAACGACTGCTTCAGAAACGTCTATTCCTACAACGACTGCTTCAGCGACGTCTATTCCACAACGACTGCTTCAGCAACGTCTATTCCAACAACGACTGCTTCAGCAACGTCTATTCCAACAACGACTGCTTCAGCAACGTCTATTCCAACAACGACTGCTTCAGCAACGTCTATTCCAATAACGACTTCTTCAGCAACGTCTATTCCAATAACGTCTGCTTCAGCAACGCTACTGCTTCAGTAACGTCTATTCCAACAACGACTGCTTCAGCAACGTCTATTCCAACAACAACTGCTTCAGCAACGTCTATTCCAACAACGACTGCTTCAGCAACGTCTATTCCAATAACGTCTGCTTCAGCAATGTCTACTCCAGCAATTTATACTTCATCATCGTCTATTCCAACGTCTGTTTCCAGAAGAGAATCTGTTCCCTCAAGATCTTCTGTTTCTATAACACGACCCACAAAATCTGCTCCTCTGACAACACTCGTCCCTACAACAACAACCTTTGGTTCAACATCAGCTCCAGGAACAACGACAGCCTCACCAATAACGAGCAAACGAACGTCAATATATATCCCCACCTCAGTATCTTCTGTGAGATCTTTCCCTACAGACATTTCTTCAACGCCACCTGCCTTCACTACTCCTGAATTTTCCACAGAGGCTGAAACAAACATGAAACCTGATTTTGCTAACACTGACCATTTTTCAACAGCTGGCGAGTCTTCCGATGTCACAGCATCTGCGTTTACATCAGCGGCTACGGCTATTTCTACACTAACACCTATTACCACATCTGCTATAACTTCAACGCCTCTTCCCACAACATTTAATGTCGAAAAAACGTCTGCTCCAACGGCAGTATCGGCCTCCACAACGATTCCTACAACAAAATCACATGATTCCACATCTCCCACAACAATGCAGGTTCCTACAAGTGCTTCCACGGAGTCTGCTTCAGAAACAAGATTTTCTCTCGCAACCGCCCTTGGTTCTGCAACATCTTCCTTCGTAACAACCCCTGCTCCCACAGCAATCTTTACTCCAAGAACAAAGCCTACTTTCACAGTAACACCAGGACATGCTCTCTTAACAACACCTACTTCTACACCAACAATATCTACTCCTACAACACCAGTTTCTATAACATCAGCTACTACAACACCTATTCCCTCAACGACAACTGCTGTTCCCACATCAACACCTGCTTCCACTTCTATTCCCACAACACCTGCTTTCACAACAACCCCTGATCAAACAACAACTTCTGTTCCCACAACAACATATGCTCCAACAACACCTGCTTCCACAACAACTGTTCTCACAACAACATCTGCTCCCACAGCAACTTCTCTTCCATCAACAACACCTGCTCCCCCAACTTCTATTCCCACAAAACCTGCTCCCACGACAACTTCTGTTCCCCAAGCAACATCTTTTCCCACAACAATTTCTGTTCCCACAGTACGTGCTCCCACAACAGCCTATACTCCCGAAACAACTTCTGTTCCCACAACACCTGCTTCTACAACAATTGCTCGCACAAAAACTTCTGCTCCCACAACAGCCTCTGTTCCCACATCTCCCATAACTTCTTATCCCACAACAACACCTGCTCCAACAACAACTGTTCCCACAATAACCTCTGTTTCCAGAACATATGCTCCCACAACCACTCCTGCTCCCACAACGACCTCTGTTCCCGCAACAACATTTGCTCCCACAACAACACCTGCTTCCACAAAGAAATCTGTTCCCACAACAACATATGCTCCCACAACATCTGTTCCCACAACAACATATGCTCCCACAACGACCTCTGTTCCCACAACAACACCTGCTTCCACGACTACCTCTGTCCCCACATATTTTGTTCCCTCAACATATGCTCCCACAGCGACCTCTGTTCCCACAACAACACCTGCTCCCACAACCTCTGTTCCCACAACACCTGCTTCCACAACTTCTGTTCCCACAACAACTCTTGCTCCCACAACTTCTGTTCCCACTACAACATATGCTCCAACAACTTCAGTTCCCACAACATATGCTCCCACAACGACCTCTGTTCCCACAACAACTCCTGCTACCACAACAACTCCTGCTCCCACAACTTCAGTTCCCACAACGACCTCTGTTCCCACAACAACTCATGCTCCCACAACGACCTCTGTTCCCACAACTCCTGCTCCCACAACTTCAGTTCCCACAACACCTGCTTCCACAACTTATGTTCCCACAACAACTCATGCTCCCACAACGACCTCTGTTCCCACAACAACAATATGCTCCACAACTTCTGTTCCCACAAACAACTCTCCCACAATCTCTGTTCCCACAACAACTGCTCCACAACTTTCTATTCTCACAACAAACTGCTCCCACAACAACAACCTGCTCCCACAACTTCTGTTCCCATAAACAACTTCTGTTCCCACAACAAATCCTGCTCCCACAACTTCAGTTCCCACAACACCTGCTTCCACAACTTATGTTCCCACAACAACATATGCTCCCACAACAACTCATGCTCCCACAACGACCTCTGTTCCCACAACAACATATGCTCCCACAACAACATATGCTCCCACAACTTCTATTCCCACAACAACTCCTGCTCCTACAACTTCAGTTCCCACAACACCTGCTTCCACAACTTCTGTTCCCACAACTCCTGCTCCCACAACTTCTGTTCCCATAACAACTGCTCCCACAACGACCTCTGTTCCCACAACTTCAGTTCCCACAACATATGCTCCCACAACTTATGTTCCCACAACAACTCATGCTCCCACAACGACCTCTGTTCCCACAACAACTCATGCTCCCACAACTTCTGTTCCCATAACAACTCCTGCTCCCACAACGACCTCTGTTCCCACAAACTATCCCACAACTTCTGTTCCCATAACAACACTGCTCCCCAACGACCTCTGTTCCCACAACAACTCCTCCCACAACTTCTGTTCCCACACACTGCTCCACAACGACCTCTGTTCCACAAAACTCCTGTTCCCACAACAATATGCTCCACAAACCTGTTCCCACAACATATGCTCCCACAACGACCTCTGTTCCCACAACAACTCCTGCTCCAACAACTTCTGTTCCCACAACAACTATGCTCCCACAACAACGACCTCTGTTCCACAACATATGCTCCACGCTCTGTTCCCACAACTGCTCCACAACGACCTCTGTTCCCACAACTCTGTGCTCCCACAACAACCTATGCTCCCACAACGACCTCTGTTCCCACAACATATGCTCCCACAACGACCTCTGTTCCCACAACAACTCCTGCTCCCACAACTTCTGTTCCCACAACAACCTATGCTCCCACAACAACTCATGCTCCCACAACGACCTCTGTTCCCACAACATATGCTCCCACAACGACCTCTGTTCCCACAACATATGCTCCCACAACGACCTCTGTTCCCACAACAACTCCTGCTCCCACAACGACCTCTGTTCCCACAACAACTCCTGCTCCCACAACAACTCATGCTCCCACAACGACCTCTGTTCCCACAACATATCCTCCCACAACGACCTCTGTTCCCACAACAACACCTGCTTCTACAACATATTCTCCCACAACCTCTCCAGCTTTCACAACAACCTCTGTTCCCACAACAACTTCTATTCCCTCAGCAACTTCTGTTCCCACAACCACATATATTCCGGTAACAACGTCTGTTCCCACATCAACTGTCCCTACAACTTTTGTTCTCACAACATATGCTCCAACAACAACTGTTCCCACAACAACATATGCTCCTACAACAACCTCTGTTTCCACAACACCTGTACCCACAAACGCATATACTCCCACAACAACATCTGTTCCCACGACAACTTATGCTCCCACAACAACATATGCTCCCACAATAACTTCTGTTCCCACAACTTTTATTCCACAACATGCTCCCACAACAACCTCTGTTCCCACAACAACATATGCTCCACAACATCTGTTCCCACAACCTCTGTTAACAAACAACACTTACAACAACACAACTTATGCTCCCACAACAACCTCTGTTCCCACAACTTATGCTCCCACATCTGTTCCCATAACAATGTTCCCACAACAACTTATGCTCCCCCAACCTCTGTTCCCACAACAACTTATGCTCCCACAACAACATATGCTCCCACAACAACCTCTGTTCCCACAACAACTTATGCTCCCACAACATATATTCCTACAACACCAGCTCCCACAGCAACATCTGCTCCCACGACAGCTATTCCCACAACAACACCTTCTACCCCCACAACGGAAGGTGACCCCGAGCAAAACGGTCCCAGCGGATCACAATCAGCGGAAGAGCTGTTGGCGCAGTTCGCGGAGCTGCAGCAGGAACAGCTGGAATTGCAGCAGCAGATAGAGGCCCAAGAGTCCGTCATCGCGGACGCTGTGACGATGCTCCAACTCCTGCTGGCGAGTATCCAGCAGCTGGCGGAGAAGGTGAGGAAAGGGAGGGCGTCTGGTCGGAGGTAGTTGTTTATATACCATCAAAAAGGCATTGTTCAACCTTTAGTTTCGTCGTAGGATGTGCAACAGGAACAACGAAGGGAAGGGCAAGAAAACACACGAATATGCCGAAGGCCTTTTCACTATGCTTCGTCAGGGCATATCAAGAAAACATATTCGTGAAGGCCTTTTCACTATTGCTTCGTCAGGGCATATGCCCTGACGAAGCAATAGTGAAAAGGCCTTCGGCATATTCGTGTGTTTTCTTGCCCTTCCCTTCGTTGTTCCTGTTGCAATCTGTTCAACATGAATTCCACACAGTCGTAGGATGTGTTCAAATTCTTTGTTTTATTTGTTTATTTAACACTTCATAAACTATGCAGGCAAAATACTTAATGGATATAAAAAACATTATAAATCTTGTCATTAACTACACTGAACAGTTTTTTTTTTACACAGTATTCATCATACTAATCCCTCCCCTAGTCTTAGATAATGCAAATGCGTGTTCCTCTTGAGAGCTCTTCTTACGCTTCATCCAACGAGCCTCCATTTTGGCCAGTCCTTCTGACTTCTTGAATTTTCGTCATCAAAACTTTGTCTTTGACTCATCATGCTCCCATTTCACATCCTATTCTTCCATCACAATACCAGCCGTATATCAAGGCATATTAGGGGCGTTACTTTATTTCATTTATTTATCTTTTTTTCTACACTATTCCGTATTCTCTTTGTGAAATAGAGCCATCATAAACCATGGACTTCATATGGCCCCACGGAATGTAACACGTGAAAGTGTATGTACATGTGTTTATTTCCAGGAGTCTTCGAGCAACTAATCCCGCTAAGAGGAATCATTCACCGATATTGTTTTATCTCCGTGAGGTAAGTCTTTTATGGTTCACGAGGGGCTGAGGCTCAGTAGATTTTCTCGACATACCTCATGACAAAATGGATTATTTGTTTTTTTCCTTGTGTATTCCAGAAAAAAGAGTAGGATATGTATATGAAATATTAATTATGAAATATTAATTATGACGAAAATAATAATGACAACTTTTGCAGAGAGCACGCAGGAACATGACGTTCTGCAGTCCATTCTGAGACTTCAAGCAAGCCGTTCTTCTGAAATACACGCGCACGATTGCAGCTGTAATAACCATTGATAAAGAAATTTGCCAACAATAGAACCTTATGCATTCAATACCCTCACCTGTAACCCCCAAAAATGTTGCTACCTATTTGTAAATCTATGTATATCTATCTATCTATCAATCAATCAATCAATCAATCATCTATCTATCTATATATAAGGTAATTTTCTATATTACCTTCGCCACACCGATATCGACGATTCTAGTAACGTTGGATTCCTCTCACTCTGCACAATCCAAATATGTAGGTTTTATTGCGCGGAAACCCCCCATTAGCGGCAAACATGGGCACTATATCGGGGGCGACGATGTCGGAGCAGCGGACGTAATATAGTATTTTTTACGATTTTGGTATCGTTGGATTCTTTTCACACTGTACAATCCAAATATTATTAGATGGTGTGGTATTCGCGCGGAAAACCCCCTTGTTAGCGGCAACTTGGGTGTCGAGCGTTAGTATCGGGTGGATGGTGTGTGGTGGTCGACGATGTCGGAGACGGCGACTGGTGTGTGGTGTGTGGTGTTATTAACAACGAAGTATAATATGTACTTATGAAGGAAACAAGTTATCGTTAAACATCCATCTTATCCTGAAGAAGGAATGAACCTATCCAGATTCAACGTTAATGAATATGGTGAGATATATATTAACGCACATACAATCACGTGAAAAAATTATCCAAAGTACATTCATTTCATACATGGTTTTTTCATATTCTATCTAGTTATAATATATCGCCATATACTTATGCAGTGATGTGTTGTGACATAGTCCAGTCCACTCCATTACTCTGCCCCGTTCAACCGTAGAAAAAAAATAACAAAGAGAGTAACTACAATACCCGATTATCTGTAATATCTCCATCTGGTCCTGAGGCCCTTGTAGTTCCATGTCCTGCATCTGGCACTGAACTTAGCCTGCATCTGCGTAGCCCGCTTCTCTCCTGTTTTCTTCCACCGTTTTTTGAACTCCTTCTATTACAATTAAAGCTGTGTCATTACGAAATAAACTATACAGCCCGATTTATTTACAAGAAAATGCCCATAACAATTAAGGTTTACTATATAGAGACCTGAATGTCGCCGAAAATGCCGACGACCACACAACCTAGAAATGGACCGAATTTAAGAGGAGCCGAGTGCTTGCCCCCTAGGCAACATTCCCCCGTCACAGCATTTTACCCAGACAAAGTATGTGTGTTCATCGTTTCGACCCCAAGATAATTACCGTTGAAATCGATAGCGTTTCCCAGTTAAGAAAGCTAGACATAATTGATGAGGTTGACCCTGGTAGCAGGCGTAAGAGGGTGCAGACCTCAAGTATGACGAAGATGAAATAGCAAAGGACCGAAATCGTGTGAGAGGAACAGAGATAATGAGCTTAGGAAGATAGGTTTAACGCGAAGATAGTATCTAGTGCAGACACAGGAAGGAGGAGAAGAAGATGAAGACGTAGAAGTGAAGAGGAAAAGAGGGAGAAGAAGATGAAGATATGTGGAGCAAGGAAGGAGAAGAACATGAAGAATGGAGCACAGTATTGCAAGAACGTAGCACATAAGAGGACTGCAATAGCACTGGGCAGTGAATGTGCAGATAAGATCGTGCAAGTCGGTATACAGAGGAAGAAGATCGATATATGAGATACTAAGAAGTGAGAGTGATAGAAGTGAGCGACACCACTGTTCTAGCGAAGCAAGGGGACGTAGATGAGCGAATCGAAGCAGTATGAAGAAGAAGAGGAAAGGAGGAAAATAGTAAGGCTGGTGGAGACCAGTAGTGGGATACTCGAGATTGCGACGTAGATAGTCGTCGATAGATAGCGGAGGATCTCGCAGGGTATTATTTCGAGTTAAGGAACAAAGAGAAAGGACGGAAATATATGACAAAGAGAAAAAAGAATCGTGATAGCAGAAGGGCTTACTCAAGGAATAACAAAGAAGTTAGAAGAGGAGAGAAGACAGTGAGACTCAGAGCGTATACAGAGAGGAGCCAATAGGACAAACAGGCAGCGTAAAATCAAAATCAAAATTGTTGAACAAACCAGGAGAAAATACGATAAGTAGTAGTAATTGTAGAAAAAGAAACAAAGACAACAGTAGAAGTAGAGGCATTTCTACTTCACAGAAATCAAGAATCATCCTGGGTCGTTTGTGAGGTGAGAAGAGGGAATATTTTTCTCCTTCGCAATGACTGGCTTGTTATCAACCCAATTCTGAGAGTAGAGCATCGGCGTTATTTCAGTCGCGTAAGAACCGACTAAATTATCCTGAAGTAACTTGTGAACCACGCCGTTCTTTCCCGTTCATAAACAGCCTTCTGTGAGTAGTTTTTAAGGTACTTCGTAATAGTAGTATATTTCGGCAATGATAGTTGATCGTGCATTTTTATACATTCTTCGCCTTATTCTTAATGTGTTTTCGTGTATATACCATTCGAAAGTGTAATTCTTAGCTAGTAAAACGTCGTTGTTAGCTAGAATATTTCTAAGATGCGCTTTGGCCCTCGAAGGAAATCGCTTCTGTGCTATTTTTCACAGCAAACATTGTGTAACTACTGTTCTTTGGAAGAGTCCTGACAGCGAATCAAAAAGTTACTTTGAAAAATCAGCAACATAATCAGATAATGATAGCAATGATGATGATGAAAAGAGGAAACAGCAGCAGAAGCAGAAGAAAAGAAGGGCCATTAGGCTGCAAATGAGGCTCCACGTTTCATGAAATACTTAAATGAATACTAATCACAGCAGAAAAGGAATGACAAAAGGTTTTCGGATGAGGATCAAGAACAAGGAGTAGAGAAACGAAATACAAAAATAAGAAGAAACTGAAAAAAAGGAGAAGGAGAAGGAAGAAGAAGAAAAGGAACAAAAGAAACGAAGAAGGAGAGGCAAAACTAAAAAAGGAGAAAAGAAACAAGATAATAGTGAAAAAAATGAAGAGAGGAAGAACCCGAGTGATTCCCCAAGTAAACGGCCAAATCCTGTCTATAAAAATCCTTTTCATTGCATCAAAATTCTAGTTTCATCTATTGGCTTATTTTTTTCTTATTTCTTTTTTCTTTCTTTGACGTGTTACAAAACTCTTGTGAATAAAAGACGATGAAATGATGAATCAGATGCATATATCAAGCGAAGAACGCAGTCATGTCACTCTCCAACTTAAGAATGGAATTCATTGTCGGTTTCCTTGAAGTTTCATGCAAAAATAAACTTTTTATGAAGGCCGGGTTATGACGATGCATGAGCGTGTCTGTGCTTTCATGTCCGGTGACTGCTCTTAACACGTAGTCATGCACACCAACATTTCTCCTTGCCGACTTGCTTGCGGTTTTTGCTTTCAGGACTTTTTAAAAACTATTTCTATACATATATTTCTTTGCTTATTCTTTTGACTATTTATTGACCTGTTGACATATTCATACATATATGCATATATACATCATATATATATATGTATGTGTGTGTTGGGGGGGCTGCGTACACATATATTACACACACACACACACACCACACACACACACAACACACACACACAGACACACACACACACCAACACAATATATATATACTATAGTATATATTATTATCTGTAACCCCGGCTATAATCTACATTCATATTACTATATTCCTACCACTATTTATAACCTTAATGCTTAGGTCACCGATACGCATTCTTACACTACAGAGTGGCAATTATACATATGACTGGCTAAACAGACCCATTTGGGTAAATGTAATACGTCCGCACCGCTCCGCGATCGACCCGTGTCACGATGCATTTTTGAAATTTTTTTGTTCTAATCGCTCTATCCTGCCGGGAATACGGTGGTGGAGGTTTTGTTTCTCGGCGAGGGGTTAGGGGCGCAGCCCCCCCCCCCCAAGGGGCGGTCGCAGGGGGCGCATTGCGCCCTGCAATGGAATAGTCATATAAAATAACCATGGTTATTTTCACACGGTGGGTTAAATTATTTAGTGTTATTTAACCTCGATTTTCTCTTTAGAACCTTCCATGCCCTCCCTTGCAATAGGGCGCCAAGTTTTTCTCCGCTAACGAGGGGTTTCGCGCAATTAAAAACCTACATATTTGGATATGTCATCTAAAAAGTTTTAGAAATTGTCCATACGTTGATATAAATCACTAACAGAGATCGACGTGGATACCAGCAATAGGAATTTAGCATTTTTTCTGGCATTTAAACGCGCAATGATGATTGTTATAGATATGTTTTATTTGTCCATTGCCAGCAGTTCATTTCAGTAACGATACAATAATGTATCATCTTTAGTCTTGATGTCTATTTAAAGGATTACTTATTATTACATAGTTGCACGTTTACTGTGCCTGTGGATTTGCCACACACTCAAACACAAACGAGGCACGCATCGTACAAACACACCCAGCATACACCACACATGTGCCTTTGTGTGGTGGTGGTGTTTGTGTGTGTGTGTGGTGTTGTGTGTGTGCTGTGGTGTGTGTCGTGTTGTGTGTGTGTGTGTGGTGTGTGTTGTGTGTGTGTGGACGGTGTGTTTCACACTTCATATGTCAACAATATGAACATTGAAATGTTGCGTTGTCTATTCACCTGCCGTGACAATGATGACTCTAACGGTATCGATGCAACGCCTCATACGTTGTCGCCGGTTATATTCATTGACTAACTAGTGACTTCGAGCTCGATCTCTTTAAGGACTTAACTATTATTGGAATGAGGAGTCTCCCTGCAGGGAGTCCGAGTACATCAACTGTTAGGCTTATAGGATCAGCCCACGTCGAATAGCTATTCTCAGTAGTAAGGATTCAAGACATCTTGGACCCCTTAGCCGCTATCCCTACTCCATACTATCTGTAGGGCCCGGTCCATTCGGGCTTATCTATACATGTGTGTATTATATCATATATATATTATATCTAAATATTTTTATCTATAGCTTTATTTATATAGTGTATTAATATTATATACATATATATATAACCAGGTATTTACATACATATATATACACATATATATGTGTAATTTGGAT